GTCTGGTATTCTCATCTCTTTCAGAATTTTCCACCATTTATTGCAATCCACACAGTCAAAGGCTTTGGTATAGTCAATAAAGCAGAAATAGATGTTTTTCTGGGACTCTCTTGCTTTTTTGATGATCCAGCGGATGTTGGCAATTTGATCTCTGGTTCCTCTGCCTTTTCTAAATCCAGCTTGAACATCTGGAAGTTCTCTGTTCACATACTGTTGAAGCCTGGCTTGGAGAATTTTGAGCATTACTTTGCTAGCGTGTGAAGTGAGTGCAATTGTGCAATAGTTTGAACATTCTTTGGCATTAGCCTTCTTTAGGATTGGAATGAAAATTGACCTTTTCCAGTCCTGTGGCCACTGCTGAGTTTTCCAAATTTGCTAGCATACTGAGTGCAGCACTTTCACACCACCATCATTTAGGATTTGAAATAGCTCAACTGGAATTTCATCACCTCCACTAGCTTTGTTCATAGTGATGTTTCATAAGGACCACTTGACTTTGCATTCCAGGATGTCTGGCAGTAGGTGAGTGATCACACCATCGTGGTTATCTGGGTCATTAAGCTCTCTTTGTATAGTTCTTCTGTGTATGCTTGCCACCTCTTCTTAATATCTTCTGCTTCTGTTAGGTCCATACCATTTCTGTCCTTTATTGTTCCCATCTTTGCATGAAATGTTCCCTTGGTATCTCTAAATTTCTTGAAGAGATCTCTGGTCTTTCACATCCTATCGTTTTCCTCTATTTCTTTGCTTTGATCACTTAGGAAGGCTTTCTTATCTCTCCTTGCTGTTCTTTGGAACTCTGCATTCAGATGGGTATATCTTTCCGTGTCTCCTTTGCCTTTATATTCTCTTCTTTTCTCAGCTATTTGTAAGCCCCATTAAGGCAACCATTTTGCCTTTTTGCATTTCATTTTCTTGGGAATGATTTTGATCACCACTTTCTGTACAATGTCATGAACCTCAGTCCATAGTTCTTCAGGCACTCTGTCTATCACATCTAATCCCTTGAATCCATTTGTCACCTCCACTGTATAAGTGTAAGGGATTTGATTCAGGTCATACCTGAATGGCTTAGTGGTTTTCCCTACTTTCTTCAATTTAAGTCTGAATTTTGCAATAGGGAGTTCATGATCTGAGCCACAGTCAGCTCCAGGTCTTGCTTTTGCTGACTGTACAGAGCTTCTCCATCTTTGGCTGCAAAGAACATAATCAATTTGATTTCAGTATTGACCATCTGGTGATGTCCATGTGTAGAGTCGTCTCTTATGTTGTTGGAAGAGGGTGTTTGATATGACAAGTGTGTTCTCATGGCAAAATTCTGTTAGCCTTTGACCTGCTTCACTTTGTGCTCCAAGGCCAGACTTGCCTGTTACTCCAGATGTTTCCTGACTTCTACATTTGCATCCCAATCCCCTATGATGAAAAGGACATCTTTTTTTGGTGTAGTTCTAGAAGGTCTTGTAGGTCTTCATAGAACCGTTCAACTTTAGATTCTATGGCATTAGTGGCTAGGGCATTGACTTGGATTACTGTGGTATTGAATGGTTTGCCTTGGAAACAAACAGAGATCTTTGAGACTGCACCCAAGTACTGCATTTTGGACTCTTTTTTTTTTTTACTGTGAGGGCTACTCCATTTCTTTTAATGGTTTCTTTTCTGCCATAGTAGATATAATGGTCATCTGAATTAAATTCGCCCATTCTGGTTCATTTTAGTTCACTGATTCCTAAAATGTCGATGATCACTCTTGCCATCTCTGGTTTGACTACTTCCAATTTACCTTGATTCATGGACCTAACATTCCAGGTTCCTACGCAATATTGTTCTCTACAGCATTGGACTTTACTTTCACCACCAGACACATCCACAACTGGGTGTTGTTTCCACTTTGCTCAGCCTCTTCATTCCTTCCAGAACTATTTCTCTGTTCTTCTCCAGTAGCATATCAGGCACCTACCAACCTGGGGAGTTGATCTTTCAGTGTCCTATCTTTTTGCCTTTTCATATTGTTCATGGGGTTCTCATGGCAAGAATGCTGAAGTGGATGATTGTCTTGAGAGAACCAACATTCTGTATTCTATAAACATTTAGTTTTGACTATTCTTGACATTGATATAAAAAAGGAATCATATAAGTCTATACTTTTTTGTCACTAATCATCAGGAAAATGGACATCAAAACCACAATTAGCCACCATCTCACACTTGTCAGAATGGATATCATCAAAAGAACACAAATACATGTTAGTGAGGATGTGGAAAAAAAGGAACCCTCTACTGTTGATGGAAATATAAATTGGTGTAGCCACTGTGGAAAAGAGTATGGAGGTTTCTCAAAAAACTAAAAATAGAACTGCCATATAACCCAGCAATTCCACTCCTGGGTACATAAAACCACTAATTCAAAAAGATTTATGTATCCCAATGTTCATAGCAATGTTTTTTACAATTGCCAAGATACGAAAACAACCCAAGTGTTCATCAATAGATGAATGGATTTAGAAGATGTGGTATACATATACTGTGGAATACTGAGCCATAAAAATGAATTTTTGCCATTTGCAGCAACATGGATGGACTTGAAGGATATTACACTAAGTGAAATAAGTCAGACAGAGAAAGACAGATACTACATGATGTCGCTTATGTTGCTGCTGTTGTTGTTTAGTCACTAAGTCTTCTCTGACTCTTATTGTGACCCCATAAACTGTAGCCCGACAGGGTCCTCTGTCCATGGGATTTGCTGCTGCTGCTGCTGCTGCTGCTAAGTCACTTCAGTTGTGTCCAACTCTGTGCGACCCCATAGATGGCAGCCCACCAGGCTCCTCTGTCCCTGGGATTCTCCAGGCAAGAATACTGGAGTGGGTTGCCATGTCCTTCTCCAATGCATGCATGCATGCATGCATGCTAAGTTGCTTCAGTCGTGTCTGACTCTGTGCGACCCTATGGACAGCAGCCCACCAGGCTCCTCGGTCCACAGGATTCTCTAGGCAATAACACTGGAGTGGGTTGCCATTTCCTCCTCCAGGCAATCTTCCAGACCCAGGGATAAAATTTGTGTCTCCTGCATCAGCAGGCAGATTCTTTAGTGGTGTGAAAATCTAGATACTACAACGTGAATCTAACAGAAAGGAAGTGAGCTCTCAGATATAGTAGCACAGATATAGTAGCTACCAATAGGAAGGAGATTGAGGAGGGTCAGTATGGGATAGGTAATTAAGAGGCACAAGTTATCAGGTATAAAATAAGCTTCAAGAACGACTTCTCTAGCAGTCCAGTGGTTAAGTCTGCCCTTCCAACACAGGGGGCCTGGGTTTGATGACTGGTTATGGAACTAAGATCCTGCATACCATAAGACATGACAGAAATAATAATAAGCTACAAGAATATATTGTACAACACAGGGAATATAGCCAATATTTTATAATAATGATAAATGGAGTACAATGATTGAAAATTAGGAATCACTCTATTATAAACCGGTACTTTATATAATACTATACTTCAAAGAAAAAATAAAATATGATAATAGAAATAATTTGATATTAAAGAGAAAAAACATTGATTGTCTTTGGTTCTGACCCATGCCCCTGCCCCTCCCTGGAGCCCACAGAGAATCATTGGTCTTGCCCCACCCACTCGGCCCTGCCCCTCCCACCCCGCCCCCTCCANGGGCTCCTGTTACCCACTGGGCTGACCACCTACACCCGGCAGCTGCCAACTGCCCGCCCCCCGCCAGACTCCCAGGCCCGCCTCGGGGTGGCCAGAGACCTGCGCTGTTGCGGCCATCACCGTGCACCGCATCCCACCTGCAGCCTGTAGTCTTTGGCGATCTGGACTCACCCGGAAGGAGGTGTCTGAGCTGGCCACAGCCTCTGGGCAAACAAGGATTCCAACAGCTCGCCACCATCCTGGAGGGGCCGGCCAGCCTTTCACCTGTGATGGGACCAAGGCCTTTCCTATCCTAGAGACATCTTCTGTTTATGCTGGGTGTGACCGCCAGGTCCCAGGGCTGCCTGGCAGCCAAATCAAGTCACTCATTATCTCCTGTGGTCCTGTTGGTTTCACCCAGAATCCAGTTCTCTTCTGAATGTGCAGCTGTCTCTCTGATGTGTGCCTTTTGTTGAGCACAGTAACCCCTGCACTCTTCCCAGCTCTTCTACACTACCAGGACAAACTTTTTTTCCCTTATTTTCAGTAAATGTCAGACGATGTTCAGAAAGAAATTGAGTCTCCATGAACATGGCACTTCTCCCTCCCTGGTCTAATAAGTGGGGTCCGTGACTTGCTCAGAAGGTATGTACTCTGCCATTCTGTGGTTGATGTAGTGTCTTGTATTATCCAGCAAAAAAGATAACCTTGTGGTCCTGGTGATGGAGACCCTGCTGGTGATCATTCAGTCTCAGATGTTGACTCTTCCAAACCAGTCAGTTCCGTGTCCCTTCCTTGGGAAATGGATCTAGATCAAATTTTTGGTCAAGGCAATGTCAGGAAGAACAGCTAGGAGACTTTGGGGAAAGAGTTTCTCTTTTCCAAAAAGCTGCTTTTGAAAGCATAATAGCTAATTTTTACAAATGAAGAATCCCATACATTTGTTGGTGAAACCCTGTCAAAGTTTTATTTAATCTATTACTCAGGAAACTAGCAGAATGACAGGTGGTTCAGAAGAAGCATTTACATTTATGGAGCCTTGATTGTTAAATGGAAAAGGAGGAAGTTCAGAACTGCTCTTGTTAATCCAGGTAGAAACCTGGTTGAGAGCCTGCAGGAAAATAAAATTATAACTTTCTGCAATGGGCAGAAAAGCAAAAATGGTACTCCTTACTACTTCTCTTTATGCTAACCTGTTAAATCACCAGTGCTGCTACTTCATCTATGTCTGCTGCTGCTGCTGCTGCTAAGTCACTTCAGTCATGTCCAACTCCATGTGACCCCATAGACGGCAGCCCACCAGGCTCCCCCGTCCCTGGGATTCTCCAGGCAAGAACACTGGAGTGGGTTGCCATGTCCTTCTCCAATGCATGAAAGTGAAAAGTGAAAGTGAAGTCTCTCAGTCGTGTCTGACTCTCAGCGACCCCATGGACTGCAGCCTACCAGGCTCCTCCATCCATGGGATTTTCCAGGCAAGAGTACTGGAGTGGGGTGCCATTGCATTCTCCGTCATCTATGTCTAGGGGAGGTTAAATTTTCTCAGTAGAGTCTGATAAAAAATAGAGTTACAGAAGGATACTGAATCAACTCTGCCTCATGTCTAGTTTGGGTGATTTTTCCCATACAGGGCAGAGAAAAATCAATCATTACAGTGGTTTTTCCCTTTATTGACTCTCTCTTAATTTGAACAGGTAAACTTGAGCCATGGTTCACATGACTTATGTGAAACTGGAGGTACTAATACATTATCCTCATTTTGTATTAGAATTTTTTTTTCAGTATCACCAGAAATAGTGGAAACAATATTAACTTGCCTTTGGCATATAATAGGCCAAAGTTTTAAAGTGAGAGGCAAAATTTGCATCACTTACTGAATTGGAGTTTTATGACGCACAAGTTCTTAAAATAATTGACAGCTGACTAATTTTGAGATTCCAATTTAAGTTGCTGGAGGTCAGCCATTCTGGATGGTTGTGAAAGATGATTGTGTTAAGCATATTCACTGTTTGGTTTTAAACATAGTTTCTGCTAAAGTGGTTTGAGAATTGCTTGGAAGCAGTTTATGGTGTAGATCCAGCATATTCCCTACAGTCTGTGTCCATCTGGCTCTCAAGGAAGGTAGAATGGCCTGGGACAACTCGGTATCCTTTGAACAGTGTTGGTAACCCCTTGCCTCCTTCAACAAAAATGCCCCTGCACTTTTCTTCTTCCTGCCAGAATGGTTCTGTTAGGCATTATTCCTTTGTCTATACCATTTGTATCATCCCAGGTCCTTTTTTGTGATAACAAATGTTTTGGGGAAAGGCAATATTTTGCAAGAATTTATCTTGAATGTCTTAGCAAGTTTCTGTACTGATACAAAGGAATGGCATTTTTAAGGCAGAAGGGAGGTTTTTTTCTCATAACTTTATAAATGCCCCCTTTGCAATTGTCATTCTTAGGTTGTTTCCCTCACCTCATTCTATTAATGTCCTCAATATACAATCAAGAATCATTACCTCAGAAGGAGAAAGAAATATAAAGTTTGTCAAAAGAGAAGATGAATGCATGAGGGACTATAGAAAAACATAATCATTTTTGTTTGTGCTTGAGGCCAATAATGACTTGAAACCTATATTTGAGATAATACACATTATATAATACATATTATATATTATACAATATTATAATATAATACATATTATAATAATATAATAATAATTTGAGTGGAGATTTTGTCACGCTGAAATCCATAAAAATTTAATAAGAGAATAAAGTGGCCTTTGGATGCTTCAGTGTCGCAGGGAACTCTTGGGTCTCAGGGAAATCTTTATAGACTGTACTGGTGAAATAACTCATTCTTCCTCAGTGGCCTAAGTTAACCCCTGTACACAAAGGCAGCCCTAGGGAAGAGATGAAGTAGGGAAGGGGATTCCATATGGGCCCTTTGTGAGTGTCCCTGATTTGTCTACCAGAGACTTGGAGGGAGCCGAAAGAGTAGGGTAAGAGAGTGTGTACCAGGAATCCTGGGTGCTGCAAAGTTTCCTCCAGTAACCTTTGCAGGCATCTGATGCCCTGCTTTCTTATACAGGTGTTGACACACTTGGGCTTCTATCATGGTGGTAGTGTGACTACTTCAGTTTATGTCAAGCAGTTTTGAACAGTAATGAGTCTACAATGAAAAGCAGCACATCTAGTGACACTGGATATGGAAAGGACAAAGATCAGTCAAAACACACACGTTCAATGAAATGAAATGAAAATAAAGTAAAATGAAAGCCCATCATGAAGTCAGACTAGTAGTATGGTGAAGTGGCATGCCTGAACAGGAAGAAATAAAAGCAGTATACCAGTTAATACATAGTGGGGTCCATTAAGACCTCTCTCTACCTTTCCACCACAACAGCTAATCACAGACCCCAGACGGAAAGTATCTGGACTTTGTGTTTATGTTTGTATATGGAGGAAATCCCTGACATGACAAGGGAGGTTATGGGCCAGAGGAGTCTACCTGGCTGGATTCAGCAGTCACAAGCCCAGACCAGAGCTCCTAATCTTCCCTGTATTCTGCTCCTTTTAGTCCCCTTGCAGATCACACTACCATCCCTCACTCAACCCAAGTGCTCTACGTGCCCTCCCTCTTATTGATCATCCACAGACAGTCACCAAATCCATTCTGCCCTCCTTGGTAGCTCAGCTGGTAAAGAATACACCTGCAATGCAGGAGGCCCCAGTTCGATTCCTGGGTCGGGAAAATCCACTGGAGAAGGGATAGGCTACCCACTCCAGTATTCCTGGGCTTCCCTGCTGGCTCAGCTGGTAAAGAATCCGCCTGCAATGTGGAAGACCTGGGTTCAATCCATGGGTTGGGAAGATCCTCTGGAGAAGGGAACAGCTACCCACTCCAGTATCCTGGCCTGGGGAATTCCATGGACCTTGAGTTGCAAAGAGTCGCACATGACTGAGCAACTTTCTCTTTCACTTTCTACCCCCCAACCCCAAGGCCGCCACCCCGACTCCAATGGCCTGCCCTCTTTAGCCTTCTGATGGCAAAGGCCCTGCGTCCAGTGCCCTGCTGATCCCAGAACCTATTTCCCTCTCTCTGCTTCTGCTGTTTCTCTGTCTCATGGCAGCTGAAAGCATACTGTCACATGATCAAAGAAGGGACATTTAGAATTTCAGAACCTTGTTGGACCTATGGATATAGTAAGCCTGAATTTGGGCCTTGAGCTAAAGACAGCAGCCATACCTGTTGTGCAAGCTGAGTGGAGGATTGCATACTTACACTCACTACAAGCAAGCACATTCTTTATAAGGTCATTAGGCTAGAGTCCTAAAATGAATGTATAGATCAAAGTCCATATAACATTATTTTGACATATCAAAATCTCACCTCAGCAAGATTTTCAAGTTACATTCTCACTAGTAGTGTGAGGGAATGTCTCTTTGCCCCTATCATTATTAAATTTTAAATTTTCAATCAAGATATAATATCCCAATGATAAGTACTCTTTTTGTAAGTTTTTTTAATTAAGTAATTTATTTTAATTGGAGGCTAATTACTTTACAATATTGTAGTGGTTTTTGGCATACATCAACATGAGTCAGCCATGGGTGCACGTGTCCCCCCATCCTGAACCTCCCTCCCACCTCCCTCCCCACCCCATCCCTCTAGGTTGTCCCAGAACACCAGTTTTGAGTGTCTGCTTCATGTATCAGTCTTGTCCTGGTCATCTATTTGACATATGGTATTATACATGTTTCAATGCTATTCTCTCAAATCATCCCACCCTCGCCTTCTCCCATAGAGTCCAAAAGTCTGTTCTTTACATCTGTGTCTCTTTTGCTGTCTTGCACATAGGGTTGACATTACTGTCTTTCTAAATTCCATATATATGCATTAATGTACTGTATTGGTGTTTATCTTTCTGACTTACTTCACTCTGTATGATAGGCTCCAGTTTCATCCACCTTATTAGAACTGACTCAAATGTGTTCTTTTTTATAGCTGAGTAATATTTCATTGTGTATATGTACCACAACTGCCTATCCATTTGACTGCTGATGGACATCTAGGTTGCTTCCATGTCCTAGCTATTGTAAACAGTGCTGCAGTGAACATTGGAGTACATGTGTCTCTCTCAATTCTGGTTTCTTCAGTGTGTATGCCCAGCAGTGGGATTGCTGGGTCGTATAGCAGTTCTATTTCCAGTTTTTTAGGGAATCTCCACGCTGTTTTCCATAGTAGCTGTACTAGTTTGCATTCCCACCAACAGTGTAAGAGGGTTCCTTTTTCTCTACACCCTCTCCAGCATTTATTGTTTGTTTTTTTAATGGCAGCCATTCTGACCAGTTTGAGATGATACTTCATTATGATTTTGATTTGCATTTCTCTAATAATGAAAGATGTTGAGCATCTTTTCATGTGTTTATTAGCCATCTCTATGTTTTCTTTGGAGAAATGTCTTAGTTCTTTGGCCCACTTTTTAATTGGTCATTCATTTTACTGGTATGAGTTACATGAGCTGCTTGTATATTTTGGAGATTAATTCTTTGTCAGTTGTTTCATTTGCTATTATTTTCTCCCATTCTGAAGGCTGCCTTTTCACCTTACTTATAGTTTCCTTTGTTGTGAAAAAGCTTTTAAGTTTAATTAGGTCCCATTTGTCTATATTTGTTTTTATTTCCATTACTCTGGGATGTGGGTCATAGAGGATCTTGCTGTAATTTATGTCAGAGAATGTTCTGCTTATGTTTTTCTCTTAGAATTTTATAGTTTCTGGTCTTACATTTAGATCTTAATCTGTTTTGAGCTTGTTTTTTTGTATGGTGTTAGAGATAAGTACTCTTTGCCACAATAACATGTTCTCTTTTGTCCTGCTTCACTTCTGTCAACAAAAAAAATGAGGTTTTTAGAATATATTTGCTTTGTGCCTCTGCTCTCTTCTACTTTACCGTAATCAAGACATTTGGAACACTTTTGCTTCCGCTTTCACATCCCACTCTCATCCCAAAACAATGAGGTTGGTGGAGATTGTTGACATCTGAAAGTATGAAAATAATACAGCTAGAATTTTAAAATCATTTTTTTAAAAATTTTTAAAAATAATAATCATTTTTAGGTCTCTATAAGGAGCAATATTTAACTCGTAACATGAAAGCTTATCAATCAACTTTCAGGTATTGGATGTTAACTGACATTCTAGAGATAAAGACTGTGGTGAAGTTGAATTGAGACCTTTTCAAAGTCCATGGAGGTCTATAGCAATGAAGGGTTCCCACCCTCCCAAAAGAAGAAACACAGGTATACTCAATTAATTTGCTAACTCTAGCAAATTTGCTAAGTAGAATATTGAATAAAATAGAAAGAATACCTTCCATGAGATATTGAGAGAAAACAAAAGGACTGAACATCAAATAAAACTTAATATATAACTACCCACAAATGTGGAGCCCACAATCACACCCACCAAGAAATCTTAAGCAGAAGATTTAGTCTAAAGTGGTTCTGGACCAGTTGTTTAGAGAATATATGGTTAAAGGATATGAACATTCAAATTGACTTTCAACATGGAGGATTGCCTATAATCCTCCCAGTGGCTCCAGTACACTACTTTATTCTACCTTCATAGAATCACACAGAGACAGCCTATCTTGAAAGTCAAAGATGCATAACATCTTGACTATAACCATCATTCTCAACTCTTTTCTGTACTTTCATTACTTGAATGGCACTCTTACTCTGGATGCATTCAAAGTCTTTCTCTCCTCAACCATCCAGTTATCTCCCAAATGAGTTGAATGGATATTCTGCCTGAATGTTCAGTTTTTTTTTTATTTGTTTGTTTTTTACATCTGTGACAGATACATGTTTTAATTCATATTATCATATAAAATAAAGTCATTATATTATGAATTTTTGGCTATATGAAACTTTTAGTATTTTATTCATTTTCATAGTTTTACAGTATTAGTAAAAATAATGGCCATTATAAATAAGTATAAAATGGAAGTTGATGAAAAAATAACCCCAAGTCTTCCTTGACTCCCACCCTCCCACCAAAAAACTAGCTAGTATATGGCAAATATCCTTTTCACACATTATCTTTAGGCATACATTCACTTTGTAGTGGTGGATGGTTTAGTCGCTAAGTCATGTCTGACTCTTGTGATCCCACGGACTGTAGCCTGCCAGGCTCCTCTGTCCATGGGGTTTTCCAGGCAAGATTACTGGATTGGTTGCCATTTCCTTCTCCATGAATGTTCAGTTTTATCAGATCACTAGAGCGCTTTGATTAGGACACTCCTGGGCAATCCCAGAACCTCAGGCCACCAAGGGTCATTTGAACCCATGAATTGATATCCACACAATTTACATAATCAAGGCTATAAAGATGAGGAGCAAAGAACTTGCTGTGTAAGGTAGCCATAACATCAGGGCAGTGTTGTTCACTCTGCCTAAAATAATACATGTTAGTATCTAATATTAAAAGTGATGAAGATTTATGTGTCTTGAGCTCCTAATATGTACCAAAAATATTAGATGTGCATCATTCACATGATTCTGTTTCATCATCATCTTGAGACAAGGTCCATGTTTCTGCCCTCTTCTTCAGAACAGTACAGATAAACAGATATCTGCAAACAACTGTAAGAGGGACTGGAGGGGCAGTCTCTAAGTGTCATGTTATTGAATCCTGAAACTAATGCCTATCGAAGCAGATGCTGTTAATGCTGTTTTAGAACTCTCTACCATTTTCATGCACCTCAGCTCCTCTGTGCTTTTGTTCCCAATAGCCAGAGTCTGTGGCTCTTCCTCATAGGACTGCCCACAGGCTATCAGAACCCCCTTCATTTGTAAGCATGAAGACTTAGTACCTTGTAATTTAAACTAATGATTGATGGATATGCCAAAGGGATTCTCTGGGAGACTTTGGTTGGTAGAAAATATTACTTGACTCTCTTCCCTGCACCCCCTCCACAGTCCACTTCCCCACTTTCCTGTCCATATATTTTTTGGACCACTTCTTGATATACATTACTTTTACATGAGTCCTTGGCTGCGGGGAGCCGGCCTGACTGCTCAGGCCCCTTCTTGGCCCTGAGAGAGATCAAAAGGTCCCTCTCTGTCCCGCCACCCCTGATTTGTTAAAGTGAAAATTGGCCTTTCACACCTCCATCAAGGGAAATTGCTGCAGCAACCTTTTGCCGGATTTTCCTGACTCTAACAAGATTGTCAGGCTCCTGTGGATGATTTAATTTACACTAAGATGCCAGTGCCATGCTTTGCTCATCTTAAAGAGTTGAGATAAAATTCCTGAGCGAATGCCTGTGATTCTGCATGTATGCATGTCTTTGAACTAAATTTAGTGAGTCCTGTTAACATATATATGTATGTTACCCCTCAATAAAGTGGTCGGTGGTCAGCTTCAGCCAAGAGCTGGCTCCGTCCCTCTCAACCCCATTCTTTCTGAGTCTTTATTTCTTAGGTATTTCGTCGATTGCGTTCGCGACTGGTTCGTTTGCTGGCAGGCTCCGGCAAGTCGCGCCCGAACAGAGGGACACGAGCAGATCCCGGAATACAGCCACCCAAGAAAAAGTAATCCCGCGGGCAGCGTCTGAAGTTGCAGGTATTGTGGGTGGAGAGGGTATAGTTGAGAGTAAAACTCATGGGGCAAAATAGTAGTAGATAGTTCTTTGTTTCTATGTTAAGAACTATGCTCAAAGCTAGAGGTATTTCTGTAACTAAGCCTAAGCTAGAAAAATTTATTAGTTTTGTAGAAGAAACTTGCCCCTGGTTTCCAGAGGAAGGGACGGCTAGCTTGGAAACTTGGGCAAAAGTGGGAGAGCAAATTCAATTAGCTTATACCTTGCATGGCCCCAATAAAGTTCCCCTTGACGCTTATTCCTTGTGGACTTTGGTTAGAGATTGTTTGACTCCAGAGCATGAAAGCAAAAAATTAGAAACTGCCTTAAAGCTTATAACTCCTAAAAATCTGCAGCCTACCTCCGGGATAGTTGAACACATTTATGACTCCCCAGAAGACCTAAAAATCTAATAAAAAGGAGGCTGTTGCTCATGTACAAGATTCGGACTCAGAATTGTCCCCTGAAGAACAGGAGGAACTAGAGGAGCAGGCTTTTGACTATCACAGAGAGAACTGGGACACTTTTATCGTTACTAAAGGTAAAGATAAGACGTCCCCTTTTGCAGAACTAAAAGAAATGCTGACATCTATCTCCCAGCGGGTGGAACAATTAGATCTGATGCATCCTTCCGTTCCCAAGCCGCTGCATTCTAACTCACCTTTGGTCGTGGCTGGCTTGGATCCTGCTCCAATTCCTCCCATGCCTCCTCCACTGGAAAGATTCAGAGGGGCATGAGGGTGATTTCCAACCTTTTATTCTACCTCGTCTCCCTGTTAACCTTTGGGGAAGAGACATTATGCAGCAGATGAGAGTATATATTTTTGCCCCTAATCAAATTGTTTCAGACATAATGATGAGTCAAGGTTTACTCCCGCAACAAGGGCTAGGAAAGGACAATCAGGGAATTACTTGTCCCATTGTGCCTATTCCATGACCCACTAGAGCAGGATTGAGATGTTTTTAGTGGGGGTCTCTGATTCTCCTGTAACTCATGCAGATCCTATCAGTTGGAAAACTGATGAGCCTGTTTGGGTTGATCAGTGGCCCCTAACAAAAGAAAAAATTGCTGCAGCTGAACAATTGGTGCAGGAACAATTGAGCTTGGGACACATTGAGCCCTCTAACTCCCCTTGGAATTCACCCATATTTGTTATTAAGAAAAAATCTGGAAAGTGGAGGCTTTTACAGGACCTCCGTAAAGTAAATGAAACCATGATTATTATGGGGCCTTTACAACCCGGCCTGCCTTCACCTGCAGGGATCCCTTGTGATACTTTTAAAATTATTGTGGATTTGAAAGACTGCTTCTATACCATCCCACTTCATCCCGATGACTGCCATCGCTTTGCCTTCAGTATACCTTCTACTAATTTTAAGCAGCCTGCTCGAAGGTATCATTGGAGAGTTTTGCCTCAGGGAATGGCTAATAGTCCTACCTTATGTCAGAAATTTGTGAATCATGCAATAGAACCTGTAAGGGCAGCTTATCCAGAAATCTACTTGGTTCATTATAGGGATGATATTTTACTTGCTTACCATATTGAGGGAGTTCTCCTGCAAGCCTATAATTTACTGCTCAGTCAGTTGGCTACGTTTGGCCTGCAGGTAGCTCCAGAAAAAGTTCAAAGGTCTCCACCTTTCTCCTATTTAGGTTTTAGGCTGGAAGAAGAAACCTTTAAAGCTCAGAAACTTCAGATTCGTAAAGATGGTTTGAATACCCTTAATGATTTCCAAAAATTACTTGGGGATATAAATTGGATACGTCCATATCTTAAATTAACAACTGGAGAGTTGAAGCCATTATTTGATATCCTAAAGGGCCCTACAGATCCTTCTTCTCCTAGAATACTTACAGATGATGGCCGAAACGCATTAGCTAAGGTGGAAGATGCACTTTCTCAGCATTTTGCTACTTACTGTGACTACTCCAAGCCTTGGGGACTTTTTGTATTCCCGTCTAAACATACTCCTACAACAATCTTATACCAGGATGCTCCTTTGCATTGGATTCATTTACCTGTTTCCCCCTCAAAGGTTCTTACCCCTTTCTTTGATTTTGTCAGTCTCCTGATCGCTCGAGGACGACAATTATCTCCGGAAATGTTAGGAGCTGATCCTGCATATATTTATGTGCCCTATACTAAAGAACAGCAAGATTGGCTTTTTCAGTTTAATGACTCTTGGGCTTTGGCTTTTGACTCTTTTACAGGGCTGATAATTAATCATTTGCCTTCTGACAAGATCTTACATTTTGCCAGCCAGCATTCATTTATTTTTCCAAAAAATGTTTCCAGTAAACCTGTTCCTAATGCACTTACTGTGTTTACTGATGGCTCATCAAATGGTATTGCTGCATTTGTTATTAATGATCAACCTACCTCCTGGCAGACAGTATATACTTCAGCCCAAGAGGTAGAGTTGTCTGCTGTTTATGAAGTCTGCTTAAAATGTAATTCTCAACCCTTTAATTTGTTTACAGATAGCAAGTATATTGCTCATGCCTTATGGTATATAGAAACTGTTCCCTTTATTTCTACTGTTAATTCTAATATTCAACAGCTTCTGCGAGCAGTACAATCTCTTATCCAGTAACGTTCTTTACCTTGCTTTTTTGGACATCTTCGTGCTCACACAGGCCTTCCAGGCCCTCTTTCTGCTGGGAATGCCTTAGCAGATTCCCACACACGAATCTTCCTTTTACAGGTTGATGCAGCACAACATTCGCATGCCCTGCATCATCAAAATAGTAACACGCTCCGTTTGCAGTTTCAGATTCCTAGAGAAGCTGCGCGACAAATTGTTAAATCGTGTCCTGTATGTCCTCAATTTCTTCCCGTTCCACATCATGGTGTTAATCCACGTGGATTTCTGCCTAACCATCTTTGGCAGATGGATGTCACTCATGTTCCTTCTTTTGGGCAATTGAAATATGTCCATGTTTCCATTGATACCTTTTCTGGCTTTCTTGTTGCCTCCTTACAATCAGGAGAAGCTGCAAAACATTGTATTGCCCATTGCCTATATGCCTTTTCTGTTATAGGCATACCGAAAGCCATAAAAACGGATAATGGATCTGGGTATGTTTCTTCTGCTTTCGCCCGCTTTTGTACCTCCTATTCTATTACACTAAAAACTGGAATTCCTTATAATCCACAGGGACAAGGCATTGTTGAACGAGCCAACCAGACACTGAAACTGCAACTTCAAAAAATACAGAAGGGGGAGCTCTACCCCCTGCAACCTCGCAATTATCTTAACCATGCTTTCTACATTTTAAATTTTTTAAATTTAGATAAAGAAGGACGCTCGGCTGCACAGCGGTTTTGGGATCCCTAGAGTACTGGCAGAAGGCCACTGGTCCTGTGGAAGGACCCCCTTGATAATAAATGGCATGGCCCAGATCCCGTGTTAATTTGGGGGAGGGGTCATGTATGTGTTTTTCCACAGGATGCCGAAGCACCGCGCTGGCTCCCGGAAAGGCTGGTATGCCAGACGGAGGAGATCACTGAATCAGCAACTAGGTCGGCTGACCTTACAGCAGAGAAATGCATTTCCGACAAGCTCTCGCCTATATTGTACTCACCCTGGCTTGCGCGGTAATGAATCAAGCCTTCCCTCAGGCTGAAGCCAATGCTTTTGTTTCCTGGGCTCATTCTTATGCTGATTTTTACAATGAAACAGCCTGTTGGGTCTGCACAAGCATGCCATTATCGGTTACAGAAGGATTGCCTTGGTGGGTGCTTCCCTTTCCAAAAAATGAAACTCCGGCTTTATGTGATTTTTTTAAAAAAATATCAGAAGAAATATCGAAGCTTAATTACAGTTAATTTTGATATAGACTTTCGATGCTCTTATCCTCTACACGCATCTTCTTTTTATTTTGATGTAACACAAAGTTATCAGGAAATTGTTAATGCATACTCATATTACAAAAATAGATCTATTTCTTCTCCTAATGATTTTAATCGATTTGAGGGTGACTACTACCAAGTTTGGGATGAATATTTCTGGATAACCCCTGAAAAAGGACAGCTACTGCCCCCTGCTGACATTTGCTGGGAGCAAAAGACTCATGTACCAACATTTGGAGGCCGGGAATTTCCAAGATATCACATGAAACATATGGGACTATTGCCTATCCAAAAATGTAAGACTGTAATGGATGTAACATTTATTGCCAACAAGTCTGTTATATGGCCAGGGACAGACTGGGAAAATAGCCCTGGTATAAAATGGGTAGCCCCAAATAACACTCGATGGATTTGTGGATACAACCTTTGGCCCTGGCTCCCTGTAGGATGGGTGGGAAGATGTACCCTAGGGTTTGTGTTCACCCCTGGAAGAATTCATAAGCAAAAAATCAGTCATCCTGTTAATTTACCTTATGTTAAAGCCCGATGGTCATGCTCTGTTTTTCATTGGTATGATTATTTAGCCTCAATTTTTGTGTCCCCTTTAGGAGCCACTGATATTATGCTCAGAGTAGAGGCTTTGAACAATTTTACAAAACAAGCTTTGACAGATACTAGAAGAGCTTTAGAGGCTCTTAATGAAGAACAAAAACAGATGAGAAAAGCTGTTCTACAAAATCGTATGGCTCTGGATATTCTAACAGCCTCTCAAGGGGGGACATGTGCCTTAATAAATATGGAGTGTTGTGTATATATCCCTGATTATTCCTCAAATGTTCTGATGCTTTAGAGGATATGAAACAACAAGTAGCCGCTATGGATTTTTCTGACTCCAGCATTTGGAGTCAGATATCTGCCTGGTTTCATGATGGTTGGTGGAAATCTATAATTTTTATTATTATATGTATATTATTATTGCTGTGTTTTGGCCCTTGCATTTGTCAATGCATATCTGAAATGATAAATCGAAGATTGCTGATGTTTTCCCGTTTGCAAACACGGCCATTTCCTTTGAGGGAAATATAATGGCCATTAGTAAAAAGAAAGGGGGGAGATGCGGGGAGCCAGCCTGACTGCTCAGGCCCCTTCTTGGCCCTGAGAGAAATCAAAAGGTCCCTCTCTGTCCCGCCACCCCTGATTTGTTAAAGTGAAAATTGGCCTTTCACACCTCCATCAAGGGAAATTGCTGCAGCAACCTTTTGCCGGATTTTCCTGACTCTAACAAGATTGTCAGGCTCCTGTGGATGATTTAATTTACACTAAGATGCCAGTGCCATGCTTTGCTCATCTTAAAGAGTTGAGATAAAATTCCTGAGCGAATGTCTGTGATTCTGCATGTATGCATGTCTTTGAACTAAATTTAGTGAGTCCTGTTAACATATATATGTATGTTACCCCTCAATAAAGTGGTCGGTGGTCAGCTTCAGCCAAGAGCTGGCTCCGTCCCTCTCAACCCCATTCTTTCTGAGTCTTTATTTCTTAGGTATTTCGTCGATTGTGTTCACAACCGGTTCGTTTGCCGGCAGGCTCCGGCACTTGGCCAGAGTCAGCTTATAGGGAAACTAATCCAAAGGCACTGCCAAGTTGTTTTCCAAAGTAATTCTTAATTTATGCTCCTCAATATATGTGTTTCCATTTCCTCACTAGTACTTGGCATTGTCAGAGTCTAAGTTTTTGTCAATTACATTGTTCTAATTTCTTTATATCAGTTAATTTTCTATATTGTTAAACATGGATGTTAACTTTTCAGAGCAACCACTAAAAGAATAGAAATAGAGAGTTTAACTTCTTAACTAATAGAAGAAATTAATGAAAGAATGCAAAGAACTTGGAACCTTTTAATTACAAATAATCACCTCTTCTTGTAATCAGGGTAAGTACTCTTCTCGTCATTACTTAAGCTTCATTCATTTTTTAATCTCAAAATTAAATATTTGTGCTATAGTTTGTTTAGATTTAGCCACATATCATCTATTCTTTCATCCCAGATGTTTTTACTGGTATAATTTTCCTCTTGTGAAATGCCCTTTAGATATACTCTTTTAACAATGATATATTAGGGGAAAATTCTATGCCTTTCATTTCTGAAAATGTATTTTTCCCCATTCTTTTAAAAAATTATTTTTGTTAAAATAATTGTTTAAAATTATTTGTTAAAATAGTTGTTAAAATAATTTGTTTTCCTTTTCATTTACAGAATCACCCATATGTTGTTTATCCTCACAATATTGTACTGTGTGCCCCAAACATTAGTGATGCAATAGTTATGACTATTCCACTCTCATTTCCTTTATCCGTGGGTATTAGTTCTGAAAGATTTGCTGCAAGTACTTTTTCTTTTTGCACAGGAGCAGGCAATGATACTATGTCACAAGGGCCACTTGGTCAACAACAATTTATAAGGCTAAAATTAGTTGTAGGAAACACCCTTATATTAGAAATATTAAAATGTGATAAATTTGAATCATAGTATTGAAAACAATATTATTCCATGGTCTTTTAGCCTTTATTTTTACTGTTAATAAATCAGCTGTCAGCTTAATTTTGTGTTCTTCTTTGGTTGTTTTAAGAGCTTTTCTTTGTATTTGATGTTCTGAAACTTCTCTACTATTTATCTAAATATGCAATCCTTTCTTTTTCTTTTCTTATATTTAAAAACATGAGATATAGACTACATCCAGTAGAGAGCAAAAATCTTAAGCACAGGTCTAGATGAATTTTTACATATACATATATATCAATGTAACTATCACCTAGATCAATGTATAGAATATTTCCAACATTCAGAAAGGTGGTTTTAGCTTTCAAATTTAAGTCTATAATCTATACTGAATTAATTTTTATGTTTGGTGGGAGGTAAGGGATAATGTTAATTTTTTCGATACGGATATCTAATTGACCCAATAATATTTATTGAAAAGACCATTCTTTCCCATACTGAACTGAGACAGTGGGTTTGTCATAAATCAGGTGACTATATAAGTGTGAATTTTTTTCTGGATTTTTTATTGTATTCCATTTGTCTATTTGTCTATCTGTGCACAAATACCGTGTGCTTTTTTTTTTTTACAATAAGCCTTGATGTCCTATAGTGTAAGTCATCCAGCTTTGTACTTCTTCAATAGTGACTTGGCTATTCTAGATTCTTTGCCTTTTCATATACATTTTAGAGTCATTTATCAATTTTTTATGGTTAATTTTTGTATCCTGTTCAAGAATAACTGAATATCATGAAGATATCCTCCTGTATTTTCTTCTAAAGCCTGTTTAGTTTTGACTGGAATCACACTGAATCTAAAAATAAATTTGGGAAGAATATATAATGTAACAATTTTGAGTCTTTCAATTCATTAACATATTATAGCCTTCCATTTATTTTGCTACTCAATTTAGTTCAGTAATATTTTGGATTTTCCAGTGTTGAAATATTGCAAATATTTTATTCATGGGTATTTGGTAATTTATAAACTATAATAAATGGTATTATTTTTGTTAAATACTATTCCCACTAGTTTATTTTTAGGAAATAAGAATACAATTAGCTTTTTACAATAGCTTTGTTGAGATATAGCCCACACACTACAATATCACTCTTTAAAAGTACTATACAAGTCAGTAGTTTTTAATATATTCACAGAGTTGTACCACCATTGTGTACATGCATGCTAAGTCACTTCAGTTGTGTCTGACTCTTTGTGACCCCATGGACTGTAGCCCCCCAGGCTCCTTGTGCATGGGGATTCTCCAGGCAAGAACACTGGAGTGGATTGCCATGCCCTCCTCTGTACAACCATTACCACTACCTGTGTTGTACTCAATATGCCAGCAAATTTGGAAAACTCAGCAGTGGCCACAGGACTGGAAAATGTCAGTTTTCATTCCAATCCCAAAGAAAGGCAATGCCAAAGAATTTTCAAACTACCTCAACAATTGCACTCTTCTTACACACTAGCAAAGTAATGCTCAAAATTCTCCAAGCTAGGCTTCAACAGTATGTGAACTGTGAACTTCCAGAAGTTCAAGCTGGTTTAGAAACAGAAGAACCAGAGATCAAATTGCCAACATCCACTGGATCATGGAAAAANAAGAATTGGTGGTTTTGAAATGTAGTGTTGGAGAAGACTCTTGAGAGTCCCTTGGACTGCAAGGAGATCAAACCAGTCAATATTAAAGGAAATCAACCCTGAATATACACTGGAAGGATTGATGCTGAAGCTGAAGCTCCAATCTTTGGCCACCTGATGTGAAGAACTGACTCATTGGAAAAGACCCTGATGCTGGGAAAGATTGAAGGCAAGAGGAGAAGGGGATGACAGAGGATGAGATGGTTGGATGGCATCACCAACTTGATAGACATGAGTTTGAGCAAGCTCTGGGAGTTGGTGATGGACAGGGAAGCCTGGTGTTCTGCAGTCCATGGGGTCACAAAGAGTCGGACATGACTGAGCAACTGAACTGAACTGAATTTTAAAACATTTCCATTACCCCAAAAAGAAACCCTGTGCCTCCCCATTATCCCCTCCCACAAGCTGCAACAACCACTAATCTATATATTTGCCTGTTCTGGATATTTCAAATAAATAGAATCACATAATATGTGGCCTTTTGTGCTGGTTTCTCTCACTTAAGTGCTATGTTTTCTAGGTTCATCAAATGTTTCAGTCCTTCATTCCTCTTTATGGTTGAATAATATTCCAATACATGGATATACCATATTTGGTTATTCATTCATCACTTCCTGGACTTTTGAGTTGTCTGCACTTTGGGGTAATTATGAATAGTGCTGCTATAAGCATTCATGTACAAGCTTTTGTGAGGATGTATATTTTCAATTCTCTTAAGTACATACCTAGGAGTGAAATTGCTGGTTGTGTCATATTGTATTTACTCTATGCTTAACTTTTTGAGGAACTGCCAGACTGTTTTTCACAGTAGCTGCACCATTTTACTAGCAATATATGAGGACTCTAATTTCTTCACATTGTCACCAATACTTGTCATTATCTGCTTTAAATTTTTATACATTATTCATGTATTCAGCAAAATCATTAAATATATTATTTCTAATCATTTGTAGATTTATTGGAATTTTCTATATACCGTCAGGCCTTCAAATAGTGGGTTTTATTTCACTTATCTTAATACCCTTTATTTCCTTTTATTGACTAGTTGTGCTAAGACCTCCAAGACATTGTGAACAGAAATGGTGCTACTAGATAATTTTGTCTAGTTTGTGACCTCAGAAGAAAGCATTTGGTATTTAACCTTTAAATATTATCTTAGTTGTAGTTTCTTCTAGATATACTTTATTGTTTTTAATGAACTTACTGTCAAATAATTACAAAATTCATATACATAGTGATATATGTGTATATGTACATATATGCTTATATGTAAATGATGCATATGATTATATTGTGTATTTTATATGTATTATGATGCATATGATTTGGAAAATACATATTATATATATATATATATATATATTTACAGGTAGATAGGGAAAGAGAAAAAGCTAATGCAATAAAGAACATAAGAGTTTCTTGAACTATTCTTGAAACTTTTCTGAAATTTAAAGTGACTATATAAAAAAAAATAAAGTGACTATATATAAAGAGGACAAAAAGAAATATCTATATATACATGTAAGTATGCATTTTCCATAATGATACTTAATGTTTCCAATTTTCAGGGACTACAAACAGGGATGCTGCTTATGGTCCAGAAGGTTGTTCACTTCTGAAGTGCCCCTTACCAAGCTAGTAACTGAGGCTGCACTCCAGCCCCAAGCCATTTCACCAAGTCAAACAATGGAACTTACTATGAGTTGCTTTTTTTTAAGCAGAAAAATACCATCTAATTGCCG